GCCTATCTACCTTCTCATAGCAGGCCTCCTTCTCTGCCTGCTCCGCTTTGACTTTTGTCTTCCACTCACTCTCGTTGGGGTGGACCGCTCTCTCAGTGGCTCTGAGCTTGGTCATGAGCTCCAGGATTTTATGTCCAAGTGCCACTTTTTCATCTGTGACCTTGGCGATCACTGCATCCTTTTCAAAGATGATGTGCTTCATGTTCTTGTCGAAGGAAAGCTCCATCGCCTTGACTTGGTTGCACTTTTCGTGCAGCTCCTTTTTCACCCTATTGGTCTCTAACTGCTCGTTTCTAAAACGAGAATCCAATTTGTAAATAAAAATTTACTTTCTCTTTCAACACCCTCCAACTCTGTCTGTATCGCTTTGTTAGAGTCGTAGGTCTGCCCCTGACTGGCTGAGTCAATCTGTTCCTGCATGGTCTGCTTCTCCTTCTTCCACGCAGCCTCCTTGCAGGACATCATTATCTTTAGTGAAGAATTTTGATGAGCCAGCTCCATCGCCTCAAACTCCATTACCTACTTCATGTAGGAACTCCATTGTTTGGTGAGAGACTCCACTTGATGGACCACAGTGGTTATCCTCTCGCCGTCTCAAATTCAACTGAGAGATTTCTCTTCCAGAGTTCAATGACGCACTGACTTCATTGTCAGCACTTAATTGAAGATAAAGACCATTCTAGAACATGCATTGTTTAAACACCAAAACATCAGTGCTTTTTTGAATGGATTGTTTTTCTTAGGTTAACCCAACTTCAGCAGTTTTCATTGACGAGACAAAGTAGATGGTGGTAATGCACCTTGAGGTCAGTTGCTAACTGCCAATAACCCCAACAGAGAAGAAAAAGTTTACGTTGATGCATCCATAAGATTTATAATGTATTTATAAAAACAAGTACACCAGGGACCTCAGCAAATGATCCTGGTCACCTCCTCAGACACATTAAAAACAACAAGCTTTGTTTTAATGACAATTTTGTCCCCTCTACCATTGCTGTGAACACAGTGTCCCAATAACAATATGTTCATACTAATATAAATGTTCCTGTTCTCATTTTGTTTCTTATACCTGGCCCTTAAACTCCTCAGTAGTATTGTCATCAAGTAAATTTAGAGTTGTGTTTTTATTTTGTTGGTCTCCAAGATATACCTGCACCACACAACTGAGCAGGCACTTATTGTAACACTGGTAATGGTTGTTCTGTGTGATGACGGAGGAGGAAAATTGCACAAACTGGGATTGTATTTTTTCAATGTTTTCTCTGCAGTGTGCAAACAAATCTACATGAAAATGGGAGAGAACAAATATGGCTTTGACAGAACAAGGTAGTGTTGTTCAACATTTTCCTAATTCATGGCTCTTGATTAATCCAGTGAATTTAAATGGGGTTTCATTAGGGGACTGTTGGTGGCAGTATACACTCTACTGAGTGTTATGATGCAAATGTCTCAGAAATCTTTTTTTCTCCCATATTTACATTCTAAAATATTATTGCATGTTTTTTTTCCTGATGGCTGATATGTGTGTCTCATCACGATTGAATATAATGATGATGATGATTATTATTACTATTATATGACTTGTTGCTGCTATCTTTAACAACGTCTTTACATCCATAATCATCACTCTTATTGTTTTTATTATAGCAACTAGTCAGAGCTGAAACCTGATGGTGCACAATTGGTCTCTCTCTCTTATCTTTCCCCCTCCCACCTATCTCTTTCTCTTCTCTCCCCTCTTTTCCACCCATCTCTCCTCTCCTCCCCATTTTTCTCTTCTCACAGAGGCAGATGGCCGCCCACATTGAGTCTGGTACTGCTTGAGATTTCTTCCATCCCATTCCAGTTATTGAGAAAGATTTTTCTCTCCTTTGTTGCCAAGTGCTGTTCACTGTGGGAACTGCTGGGTTTCTCTATAATTTGTAAGGTCTTGACCTTCTATGTAAAGTGCCATGATATAATATACATCATGAATACAATTGAATTGAAACTTATTGGTTAATAGACATGATAGAAAATATCTGATGAAGCAGCATTGCAATAAAACTACACTAAACCATACCATGCTTTGACAAACCATACCAAATAATGTCAAATATAAATCCAACCTTTACCAAACCATACTATGTCAAACAATCCTAAACTATATACTAAACCATACCATACTATACAATACCATGTCAAACCAAACCTTAGAAACCAACCAATAGCCCAACATATGCACATACACCATACCAATGCAGTCTTACTGGAGATTAGCTTAGTTTAATCTAAGCAGAAAACACAAAACATCTTCTTATTTTGCCTTGATTGAATATAAATGTAACAGAAAACTATACTTTGACTTGAAACCAGGTTTTTGGGGCTTTTAAGCTCAAGGAATCTGGACAGTTAAGCAAGTTAATTGCTTTTTTTCTGATTGCACATACATAGCAGACACTCTGACAAGAGTTTGGGAAAAAACTTTTGTTTCAATGAGTATATCAGTGAAATACAGCAATTAAATTTTTCTGGCTCATGGTGCCAGCTGGCCGGTCGTTGGCCAGTCCAAAGTAATAGCCTTATTTTTACTCTGCAAATATGTGAATGGCCTTTTCTTCCTAATGAGGGCCAGAATGCATGGCGGATGACCCATGTCCCCATGCACTCATTATAAAAGCACAGAGTCCTGCAAAGTCTGTTGCTAATGTTCACCTGGCAATTATGATGGCCCTGTGACTGATAAGGGGAAATCTTTTTTTTTTCAATTGTGTCTTCCTCGAGAGGACTGAATCACAGAGCCTCACAGACACTTGGAGGCACATCAACTTTTCACTGTGCTGCCACGCAATCCTTCATTTAGAAACATATATGTCAGGCCATAGTGCTGTTTTTAGAAGCCCCTGTTTGTAGAGAGGGGCAGACTGGGCCTCTGACTGGACATGGAATACGGTGCTGTAAACCACAGGGAGCTGCAGGATAACAGGAGAGGAGGATTTAACCTGGAACCAGACTGACTCCACAGCATATTGATCCCTGTGAGCTCAGAATTTTTTTTTTTTTTACAATATATTTACAGATATAAAATATAAAACATGCTTCTTAACTTTTCAGCAGTTTGTAACCAAAAATGATGTTTCATATTCACATGAGGTTTGCTATGTGACTTGCAAGTAATCACATCAAGCTTGATTCAGAAAGTTCAATTTAGGGATCTGCTGATATTTAACCCTTTCCTGGGGAAAATTAAATTGATCCCCAAGCTACCTCTTGACTGATCCATGCATGTCTCAGGCCAAATCTGGCTTCCTTTGTAAATTTCAAAGCTGCAGCCATCAGCGATTTTCTGATTAATTGATAATTATGCTTTTGTCAAAGGAGAAAAATCACACTGATGTTAGAAACACCACAAGTGTAAACGATGAGTATGAGAGAGATGGAGGTACGTTGTTTCATCCATGTGTGTTTGAGAGACACCATATGAGCCTGGGTAACTATGGTGTGGGTGTATTCCTCTGTGGCATGATATGATAAGTGAATTCTGAGTAGAGCATCCTGATTGCAGCTCCTTGTCCCCCCCCCCCCCCCGAGATCTCATACAGTTTGCTGTGAGTATCAGCAGCTTTCCCTGCGACGCTTGTTTTCTCTGTTAGGGATGCCGTGCACAGAGTGGGGCCGGTGCAGTCACCCATGGGATGAGATTTAGGGGTTATCATGTGGCTGTTAGCACAGGTGACTGTAAAGAACAAGAAGCAAACAAGGTGCATTTGTAAATGTCCAGTGCATGTGGGTCTTTTACTTGAACTGCAGATATATAGAACAAATTAGGTGTTTACTTATACATTTACACATACTTCCTCAGCATCCTGAGAATATACTTCATGACAGTGTGGGTGCAAAACAGAAATATGTAGTTTTTAATCATATCTGGAATGTCTTCATTCAATCATTTTGGAAACAGTGATTTATTATAAAAAGCTGTGTTTGTAGCCATCATGACATCTTGGCTGCAGTTTCACACAGCCTATGTGATCACTTGGTGAAAAAAACCTGTCAAAGCAGGCGAACACTCTCTCTCTCCTCCTCCTCCAAATTGTCTGTCTTTTTAGAACCACTAGGCAACAGTGAGTGCATCACTGGAAACGTGGAAATGCGCAGGAGCCGCACAGAGGAACCGAAGGCACAGAAGCATCATCTGATCGAGCCAAAAGAAACATTTGGTGGATCTCTGCACCGCCGAACCATGACAACCACGTCGACATCTTCCTAGAAGAGAAGGGGGAAGGTGCCCAAGAAGGAGCCCCGACAATCGGCGTCGATGCGCGCAGCCAAAAATGACGACGGTGGGACAGTGATCTTCCTCCTCCAGCTGCTCGTCATCTTTTACGGTCATACGCTTGGATGCAACTCGCCTCCTATGTACACACATCACAAAGGGAAGATTGGAAACCGACTTATCTCCAACACGGACAAGTGCGCGCAGAGACGTTTCATCCTGGAAGCCGTTCCTCGCGAATAATTACGCAGAGATTTCGGCGTGTGATGGAGCACTGAGGGATTTTGAAGTTTCGCATGAAAACTTAACTGTGTGCGTGTGTACAGTTTCTGAACGGGTCCACGCAGCCACAGCCTTCCACGGGTGATGAGTAATCCGCGTCGCAGCCACTGATAAACCTGTAAAACCTGGACGGCGACGCGGGCGCGTTTTGGATAGGCTGCCTCCTCTCCTGTGCGTCGCTTATATGGATTCATATGGCTCCTGTACTCGGTGTTTGAAAACTACTCGCACATTGTTGACGTTCCATGGCTGTGGACAGCAGCAGCAGTAGTGTGCGGTGAAAGAGGACGATGCAAGACTAACTGGGGGCGAAGACAGCGCACTTTTATCGCCTTCTCTTTTTTTTGCGCACAAGGAGGCATTGCGCACAGGCTGCAGCAACTACAGCCCCGGACTTTTTTTCTTTTTCTTTTCTCATTTCATTGAATCCTTTATTTCTTTTCCTTTCTGCTGTCATCGTAGTATGTCTGCACTTCGAAAGAAATTTGGGGACGATTATCAGGTAGTGACCACCTCATCTAGCGGGTCTGGATTCAACCAGCCTCCCCCGGAGAAGAAGAGGAAGAGGCAGCGGTTCGTGGATAAGAATGGGCGATGTAACGTCCAGCATGGGAACCTGGGTGGTGAGACCAGCAGATACCTCTCAGACTTATTCACGACACTGGTAGACTTGAAATGGCGCTGGAATCTGTTTATCTTCATCCTCACCTACACGGTCGCGTGGCTCTTCATGGCCTCTATGTGGTGGTGCATCGCCTACATCCGAGGGGACCTCAACAGGGCGCACAACGACAAGTACACTCCATGCGTGGCCAACGTGTACAACTTTCCCTCAGCCTTCCTCTTCTTCATAGAGACCGAGGCCACCATAGGCTACGGTTACAGATACATCACGGACAAATGCCCCGAGGGGATCATTCTCTTTCTGTTCCAGTCGATCCTCGGATCGATCGTCGATGCCTTTCTGATCGGCTGCATGTTCATCAAGATGTCTCAGCCCAAGAAAAGGGCCGAGACGCTGATGTTCAGTGAACATGCAGCCATCTCCATGCGGGATGGGAAACTAACTCTCATGTTCAGGGTCGGTAACCTGCGTAACAGCCATATGGTTTCTGCGCAGATCCGCTGCAAATTGCTGAAAGTAAGTGGTGCTACTTTTTGAATGCATCCTGTAATATGTTTTGTTCCCTGCCAATGGTTTGTTTATGACTCACTTCATGAAAAAAAAGAAACAGGAAGGCCTACACACTGATATTTAGGCCTACACCAACAGTACACAAAGATACGAGGTACTCAGAATACTAAACTGCATTTCCATTCCCCCAAAAATCCCAGTGGATGTGAAATAATCCAATAACCAGTCTATAGCACAGAGTTTGGCTTTCCCCCCCCCCTTGCAATTTACTAATGGCCTTATATTCTTATTTCTCTGTTACAATTTGGTGTAAATGTGCTGCTGAACGTCTCTGGATTTCTCTGCTGCCCTGGCTTCACAGAAGTCTGTAGTAAACCTATAACCACACTTTTAGCCACACTCTAAAATGCAAATGCGCACCCTCCAGTTGTAACATATAGGAATCTAGTGATAGTATATTCAGGAGTTATACAAGTGAACATAGGCGACTGGCCTTGCTTTTGTTTCTTGAAGAAATACATGCAAATCCAGTTCAGGGGTTCTCAAAGTGGGGGTACAGGGCACTCACAGGGTACTCGAGGGGTTGCAGTGGGTCCCTGGCAAAAAGAGGAATTGTTCATTTTCACTATAATTTCATCCATAGGCAATGAACTGACAGAATATATGACTATTTTGCTCCTGGATTTTCATACACTTCCTGTAATAACACATTTAAAAGCAAAATCCTTGTCAAATGGGGGGTGTGGTCTAGTTTGTGTTTGAAGTGCAGAAGTCTGAGAACTACGGGCCTTTCTTGTACAATTCCATGACCTGGATGATTGAGAATCCTCACAGATACAGTGCTAGTATAGGAGATTACATGTGGGCTCCCATTAAGTTTAATAAGGTTAGTAGAACCTCAGTAAGACATCAACAACACCCATCTTAGAGACTTTCGTCTCTTCATGTAGACAAATAAGTTGAGTATCAAGACATTTGAACCGACTGATTTGTCTCACTTGTTCTAAACGAACACATTTTTAGACTCAGTGGCACATCACGTCACACACTGAGAGGGATATTCTTCCAGCTTTAAAAATAGTCAAGAAAAATTGCAGTCGGTTTTGTTTCTGATGGCACAAAGGCCTGTGTAAAGCTAGAGATGGATAAGTGTGTCTTCCCCCTTCCTTCCCCCCTCCACCAAACATCTCTGTCTCTCTCTGTACGCTTCCTTAGTCTCGCCAGACGCCCGAAGGCGAGTTTCTTCCGCTGGATCAGCTGGAGTTGGACGTGGGTTTCAGCACTGGGGCCGACCAGCTCTTTCTCGTCTCACCGCTCACGATCTGCCATGTGATCGACACGAAAAGCCCCTTCTATGACCTCTCCCAGAGGTCCATGCAAACGGAGCAGTTTGAAATTGTGGTGATACTAGAAGGGATAGTAGAGACGACAGGTGAGTGCCCAATAATAATTCATATTCACAGGCCTGCTCTGGTGGAAATAAGAGTCTGTTTTCCTGCATGATGTGGGTGCAGGTGTCGTGAATACAGGTGCTTTGTCTTTGGACGTGTTTGTCCCATGTCTTTCTAAAACCCATGAATAATAGTGAGGGATTTCATAGGTGTTAATAGCTGCTATCCAAATGGACTTACTACTGACCTCATGATTGCTTTTCATTGATTTTTATTTCTGTGGCAGCCATACACAGTTGTTCATAATAACAGTGCTTAGCATTCATACACCATAGATTATTGATTTTTCCGTAGTGGGTATTAAGTGAAGGAATTTTAATCTATGTATTAAAATACTTCATGGGTATAAGGGAGTAGAGCCATTGGACACTTTGAGACTCTGTCAGGTCACTGTCAGGCAACATGCATTTTCTTTTTTCTCATTCGAGACAAATTGCTCCTCATCTGTGCCCGGACGGCACTCGTACCTCACAGCAGCTCTTCTCAGAGGGGATAATAATTTGCTTTCTTTGGTCCCTTAGGAATTAGGGAATTCCATTTCAACACAAGATGAGTAACGCCCCGAGAAAAATCCTCCACCGTGGTCATTTCAAATTCAGCCATTTATTTGACACGGCTGATATTGTAGTGTGGGGAAAGCTCCCTCAGTGGTGTAGAGTGAACAGAGGAGCAGTTGTAATATGTTGGTTCAGAGAAAGCAGCATATGGAGATGTGACAGGGAGGCTTGCAGGCTGACACTGCAGACGGCAATTAGCAAAGATATTCTGCTCCTTATAATATGGATAGACATACAGTTTTTGCAGGGTTTTTAATGTCTCTGAAATGTATCTGACATATGATCCTTCCATTCAAGAAAAGCTGGATTCATGTCAGGTCAATTAGATGTGACCATTAGAGGGCAAAGGTTTAAAAAAAAAAAAAAATGTATGACAGTATCTACATCAGACTTAATGTCAGATATGCCCAGTGTTTGAAGATCAGTGACTACTTCCTTCTGTGTTTTGATTATTGATTATATCACTTTATAACCAGTTAATGTGTGTGGTGTAAAAAAACATTGGACATTGTTTTCTTTTATGAGAGTAATTGTAATACTAATTCAATAGTTTTTGTTGTGAAGTATGAACAGATTATTATCCTTGATAAATTGGTAGATATTTATAGTCGTGAGTATGTGTCATCGTATTGTCCTCATTTGTAAGAGTCATCATCTTGGTCTTAATTAAACTGATTTGGCTTCAGTCTGTGGCAGCGTTTTTGCTGCGAAGACGTTCCTGCATTATGGAGCGGATGTGCTTGTGTGAAGTTGGTGGAAAGGCTGATGTAGAAACAATCTATGGTTAAAAATTGATGTACAGTGAAAGTCTAAATCCTCAGACGCTTTCATTTCTGGCCAATGTAACTCTGTTTCCATGGCAACCTCTCCTTGAGTATTCAGGATTGCAGCACTGCACCTAAACTTAGGTTTATTTTTATTATTATTATTATTATTATTATTCCTATAGTATAGGAGTCATAACACAATTTTTCAGCAATGAAGCGAGCAAACATGGGTTGTCGAACATGAGATGAATTTGCTCCGCCGATTAAATCTCCTGGTGCTGAGGAGGATCTCTTCTGAAATATGAAAAGCCCACGGAGGTGTAACTGTACCACCGAGCACTCGCTAGAACAGGTGATACAGCAGAGAGAGAAAAAGATAAAATATTTATGAGGCTGTGTGTTTACTAGCGAAGAAACTGCCCAACTCCCCAGGTCTGTCTTTTTCTTTTTGTTATGTGGTAAAACCAGTGTCTGCAACACAACTTAAACACTCCTCCCTGCAGATTAAAGCCTCACAATCACTAACATAACGATCATAACAACAGACACAACAGTATACCCCGTTTCGCCATTGTGACCATTTGCTCGACACGACACAAAAATAATCTGGGCTGAGCCTTTCTTCACACTTAAGAGAAAAATCGGAACACGTAGTCACATTTCGCCGTAACCTCGGACAACCTCTACATTGTATAAACGGCGAGAGCTAGTTCTTGTTCCTGTTTGAAGAGGAGCCCAAGCTGTTTTTTGATCACCACCTCAGTATGATGCACCTTCCAAATGAGACGTGGAGGATGTCTGGTAGCATATTTTCTTCTGGAACGATGCCAGTTGTGGCTTTGTGGTGTTGAGGTGGTTTTCGAACACGGCAGCAGGGAGTTGTTACCCTGCTGAGGAGGAAGTGCCTGTAACGCAACATTGCAATTAATGCACTGTACATGTTATCTGACTGCATGGCCCCGAGGAAAGAAAATAGACTTTCTGTAAGGAAGGAAAAAACAGCAGAGCAAGAAGCTCATAGTAACAAGTTTTGGATGCGTTAACAGCAGTAACACGGTTAATGTCTGACACGATTACAATCAATACAAACAACACAAACCACATTCACAGCAAATAGCTTTACAGTGATGTCTGTGTGTGTGTGTGTGTGTGAGCGCTCCATCCCCCTGTCACTTGGTTGATAAGAATCTGCTCACAATAATACCCAGTCTGAATCACTTCTGCATTTTTCGGGCACTGCATGACAGGTGCTTAGGCAACAAAAGAGAAAGTAATTCTGCGTAAGTGAATAACACGTCATTACTGCAGCCCAGCTGATATTGACTGTGTCTGTGCAGTGTGGATTACATAAATACCAAATACAAGTCATCCAGTGAATTCAGAGGTTTTCAATGTTGGGTTTAGCAAAAAAAAAGGCACCTATTAGATTTATTTTTTGACAATGAGCTTCTTAATTCTGACAGACTCTGCAGTGCAGCAACTTCTGCTCAGCTGTGATACTGTACGCTTGAATCTGCTCAACAAAGTCATCACTGTTATTATGAAAACTTTATTGTCTCTTTAAACTATGGTTAGTACTTTCATGTCAGGGCAACAAGGTTCCTGGTTCGAATCCTGGATTGGACAAAGATTTTCTTTCATGTTCTTCTCATGTCTGCGTCGGTTTTTTTCTCTTACTCCGGCTTCTAAAGATATTCAGATTGGTGTTAGGTTAACTGGAGACTCTAAATATAAAGTATAGGTGTGAATGTGACCGAGTTTGTCTCTGTTTGTTGGCCCTGTGATACGCTGTCCAGGGTGTAACCTGCTTTTCTTGCAATGTCAGCTGGGATTGCCTCCTGTGACCCCAATCGCGGTATAGATAATAGCTGGATGGAGGAATTGTTACATATTATATGTATTTTGGGATTTGGAAACAGTGTAAGGGATGTAGCTCATTCTTAAAACTTAATTATTGATCAGTGTGCAGTTTATATTATTTGAATACTTTAATATACAAAATGATTTAATACAAATACCCATCACCATTTCTCAGAGCCTAAGGAAATGTCTTCTGACAGTTGAAAAGCCAAAGACAATCAGTGGAGAATTGCAGACACACCATGTATGATATATATTGAGGAAAGATGTTGAATATAAAATGTTGATACCATATCTAAAAATGCTCACTGACAATATATTTCATTTCATCCCTCTGTAGTGTCTGCTCTGGTCATAGAAAGGCTCCAGTCTGAGTTTTAGTTGCCTTATGCACTTTAACGTCTTCCCTTTATATTCCACAAAACCATGCATGTTTATTATTTGTAGCCATGGTGACCAAGGTCTAGTACGCCTTCGAACTTTAGCTATTTCAGTAGACACCTCTGTGAGTCATATCGGAGTGTACAGAGACAAATGACTTACATGGTCGTTAAGGTTGGAGGACTTGTTACTTTTATATACCTCGCAGGTGGTCAGGGTGGGTGGTGGGTGAACAAAGCATCTTAGCTCCTGACACAGGGTCACATTCTGGGTCCCATCTGTTTGTTAGGTTTCAGCAACAAAAGTACTTTGGTCAAAATTAGAAAAGCTTGTGAGTTTTAGTTTGTGTTAATTAACCTGTGATGTCTGGAGTCACTGCAGACTTTCAAAATAATTGCCTTTCATTGATTCAAGCATGGGGTAGGGCAACTTACCCTGATATCACTGTAACTGTTTGATATCAATAACTGTGTATGAAGATGGATGAAACATCTCCACCTCCTCCCACTGTATGAAGCAACAATATCTGTGGTACAGACGATGCAATTGTGCACTTGTGACGTCGTTTGGACCCAGAGTCTAAGCTGAAAAAAGAAAATTGTTTACTAACTTAAACAATGACTTTGATTGATCAGATTAAAGTCAAAAAGTTATATTAACACAATCAATAACTTTCATTTAAAAAATCATGACCAATCATGAGTCAGTCTCAAACATCAGTATGATAAGAACAACCTAAAACGACAGAGACTATCTTAGAGAGAATGTTATTCAATGTGTCCTTTGACTTTAGTATAGTCCACGTCCCACCTGCTAACATGAAGGAGACAGGGCTTATTTCCTATACTGCAGCCAGCCACCAGGGGGTGAGCGAGCTGTTTTCACTTTTGGTCGCCGTTATGCTGTCGTTTCATTTATTTCACAACTCCACAGATACCAAATTATACTAGATATTAAGAACACAGTGTTTATGTGTTGAAATAATGTGAAAACAAATTGTAATTTAATGACATCTTAATGCCACTGCAGGGACATTTTCTCTGTTCAACGACAGAGCCGACGATGACCTGACTTTGACTCCCCGAGTTGAATCTACATGGAGTCTTAAAATACATCAGGAGTTGAGATAAGTGTCCCATTAACACCAGTAATGCTGTTCAGCACTACAAAGGCTTAAATCCCAAGCCAGAGGCAATCTGTTCATTTATGGAGCTGATTCTGGAGAACCTGGAATAAACTGTAGCTGCCAGTAACAATCGTTTGTGTTCCTCCAACCATGAAACTAATCAGTGTGTTGCAACTAAATACATTTTATGATTTTCCCTGTTGAAATTGCACAGGACACAGCAGCGCTCCTGTTTAAACACTGTAGCTCACATATGCTGAAGATGTGCATCTATGCAGATTTCAGATCAG